ATAGCACAAACCAAACTAGACGAACTTAGATGATGAAGACAACCGAGGTAAAAAAAGATAAATTGCATTCCGTAATTCCCATCTGTTAAATCACGTTTTATTCTCTTTTCCTTGTTAAATTTTACCATCTAATCAGCAGAATCAGAAATGTTGCACAGTACAACCAAGTTGGTGCAGACTTTGAATCTATGCCAACTGCTCATTTGTCCTCTTCCCTTTACGAATATCGCGAATATCTAGCAAATCAGAATCTTGTCTTCTCAAAGAAGCCCTTGTTCGAGGTCGGTCTCACTCACCCGAGTTGGATTCCGTTCACACATTTCGCACGACAGATGATGAAGGTTTTGTGGATGGCGTGACTGATTCGGTCCTGAGTCGCACGGCATCGACAGCGGCCATTACAATGGTTGCTGGTACACACAATAGCAAAGACACGATCATTCTATCGGACCGTATCACGAGTTGTTTAGACTCAGACCCCACTGTGACCGATTCACATCTGGGTTCATCCTCATCAGGAACGGCATCTTCCTCCTCGTCTTCGACATCCACACCACCACCACCGTCGGATATCGAAGGAAAGATGTCTCCAACGTCCATGTCGTTTAGTGACAGACCTCTGTGTGCACGATGCGAAGACAAGTGTACTGATTCACAAGTTTTCGGCAGCCTCGAACTGGTAAGCTCAACGCGTTTTCTCTAGCCTTTTGCCTCAGTGTTCCTCTTGGTTTCATTCGGGTGCATTGGGTTCTCTGCGATTGTCCAAAAGTTCTCATATTGATTCTCGCGGCATTTTTGAGACCGTTACAATGAGGTTGAAAAGACAAGACAAGGTGGTAATCTCCTGCAGATCAGAACCTTTCACAACTGATAAGGGTTGACTTTTGTGTTACAATGCTCATGGTCTAGTTATGGCCAAACCGTCGTTTTTCGAACCCACAGCCTTAGACCGTTAGCACATAGAGACAGATTCGTATTGAACTTGATGCGGAATTCCGGTATTTTCTCCCGTGTTCGTTATCTGGAGTTTCTGTGTTACTCCACAAAACCACAAACTTCACTTTCATGTGCTGGTGTTTTGGCTGCTGTCTTTCGGTTCTTCATACGATCGGTGAGTGAAGGATGAAGGTCAAAAAGTAACCGCAGTACCAGGATAGAAATGAGGAGAATGCACGCGACACAATAGCTCTTTCTGTCCTAAAAGGAGTAGATACACCGGAGCTTTTGACAATCCGTCATATGATCTAGCGTCTCTCAATATTGAATGGACCGGTCAAGTTGTCCCCAGCTGAGAAGCTTAATGAAAGTGTTTGATTCCCGGTCATTTTTTTGACCACCCTTGATCTTCTTTCAACCGTTATATTCCTCGCCAAACATTGCGCGCAGAAGAAGCCCTTCTGATAATGTGCCTTATTCACCGCATACCTTAGAGGTCTAGCATTTGCATGACTGTGCTTAGCTACTACTCTAAGTCTACCAGTGCTAAACTTCCTGAAGAAACAAGGAAATAAACATGTTAAATTTCATCTACCTAACAGCGGGCATTGTTCGTCAGATTCCATCAAGGGATTATTTTGTTATGCACAGTTCTTGCAAGCCTTCCCGATCCCCAGGCAGGTCATTGTTCTGTAACAAATCTCGTTAAATCTCAGAACCCGGGTGTGTGCTCGCATTGTGTCCAACTATCATTGATCGCCCACTATAGTCAATCTGTTTCATCCTGCCCAGGTGACATGGCTTTTTCCGTGTGCGGGGCTTTGACACACGTGACCTCAATTCATTTGGGACACAAAGGTCACTGGCCTTATAGTTGACCTGGCATCGCATCCCATTGTCAATACCTATTGTTGTCGATATCCATCCTACCACGCACAGATCATGTGACGGGCCAGATGAAACACGCTCAAGTGTGTTTCGCTCACCTGTCCCTGTCGCACTGATGTTCACTGTTTGGTGAACTAAAGGGTCTGAGGGGAAAATATCTCTTCTGACGTGCGGGTTCTCGAAATGTTCAGTTCATTTCGAAGAAGCAAGGATTCTCTCTTTTTATCTACACCTTTTCCCATCAAGCTTTAGCCAAAACCCGCAATCCTTTAGCCTTGATCTACATTCCTTTAGCCAAAACCCGCAATGC